AATCAAATTGAAAAGATCCTATGACTACCCCTTCACCTATTCCAGGGTCTCAACAAATATTTCACTGGCCTCTCTGATTCTCTACAATAGTCCCTCCACTACCCTGTGAATCTGTTGGAATTCAAGAGAAGCAGGCAACCTGTAGCCCTCCCAATGATTATTTGATGGCATTTCTCCCACCACTTCTCACCATTGGCTATGCTGGCTAGAACTAATGAGTACTGTAGTTCTGCAACATGTAAAGTTTCCTACCCACGGGTTATACACATTTGGGGATGTTGAGACCATTAATCTGAAACATGGGAAGGTTACTGTTGAAGGAGGTTTCTCTACTCATGAAAGAGTTAGCACTATGTGGCTGGTTTGCACTGCATGTCTTCCTGCATCACATCAGAATGACTTGCCAGCACCTTTGTATAAGAGAACTAATTGCAACTTGTAGTCAAAGTAAATTAGACAAAAATGCACCACAAATATTCCTTTCTTGGGGTGGTTATGGCACATTTCTGTACTGTCTAGGGAAGAGCACTGGGAGCAAAAAAGGAAAGTATGACACCCCACTCTCTCTCCCCCTTTCTTTGCATAATACATATTATGCAATGGGAAATATTCCTCAGTCAAAATATATCTGAAAACATTTACTGTTGAGATGAGCAGGGCAAAATGGAATCCTGCTGGCAACTGTAAATCAGAATAGGCTCTGTGCTGCCAAAAGCAATATAAAAAAAACTATTTTTAATTGGTAATGTAAGCACAGTGATTCAGAGAGTAAGAGATAGACATTTCAGAGGATTGATGGAAGGGACAGGCATAGAAATTTAGTGCTTAGCCTCAGTATTCATACAAATATCTAATTTTTATGGGATGGGGAGCTAATAGCATTAAACCAATAGCATAATAGCACTAGTGTGTTTGTTGTGGTTACTTTTTAAATATATTACAGTAAGCATAATAATGTTTTCAGTACAAGTGGAGTGTTCCTTGCAATGTACAGTGGCTTCAGTGTCAGTCGGGCAGTGAACCCAGTCTGGGGTTTAGTCCAGTCTTTATTGGAGCCAAGGGCACCAAACCCTACCACACATGACAATCCCGATACCTTAGATAGCGCCTTTAAAGTTCCCACTGAAGCCCAGTCTGGATACACCATCCTACTAATATCAGGACCTACAGCTGCTACTTCATGTATATAGTTCACCTCAGAAGTCAGTCCCAGGTCTGCACTAGTAACACTGCAAACATAATTGTCCAGGATTGTCATTCGATGCTGGGGTCAATGAAGTGGTAAGATCCACATGTGAGTCTTTGCTAAATGGAAAGACTGACTCAAAATGTATGGTTTCATCCTGTGCTGTATCCATTCATGTTGTCATAGGGAATTTCAGAAGGTTGCAGTATTTGTTGAAGTTCTCTCTCTCTCTCTCTCTCTCTCCTTTTTAAACAAATCAACATGTCTCTGTTGTCCTGGCACTTTTCCAGCTTATGGTAACCCTAAAGTGATCACTTGCCTTCCTTAGCAAGATTTGTTCAAAGGGGGATGGTCATTTCCACCCTCTGAGGCTGAGAGATTGTGACCTGTCCAAGATCACCCAGTGGATTTCTGGCCAGCTGAAGGGATGGCCTCTGCTCCCTCTGCTAGTGCCTATGAGTGTGTGCACCCTAAAGTCACCTGTTGGTTTTCATAAGGTTATCTTAGGCAAAGAACATTCAGAGGTGATTTGCCATTGCCTTCCTCTGAAATATAGCTTGCAGCACATGATATTCTTTGCTAGTCTCTTTTCCAAGTGATAGCTTGCTTAGGATCCAAGATCAAATGGGATCCTGATGCCTTCAGGGTGCCTTCAGGTCCTTCTGCAGTTGCCCACCTTTGTATTAAATGGTACCCTGTACAAATGAGCCACACTCTCTCACTTTACTCTCCCTTGGAATTCATTCCAAAGGATATACCTTAGATCCCTTGAAAAGGCTGACTTTATTACTCAAAGGAGCCAAGCAATTCCATGCAGAATTTGGAAAAGTTACCCTTTGGATACCAATTTCCTAATTGGTGCAGCCAGTAACTTTTCCAGCATTTCTTAGCTCTACATTTATCTTCTGGCAGCTGCAGAAAATAGGAATGCACCTGTTGTTAATTTTCAAAAAGCTAATTTTTGCTGCCCAAATTATAGGAATGCTTGAAAATTTGACAGTGAACGAGGGAATTACCCTCTCAATGTGGTGAAGAAACTACGAGAAGAGGTAAAACTGCAGGTGCAGATAACAGTAGTCTGCAGTGTGTATTGCAAGGGGCATTTAAAACAGACAAATAAAAATTACATCATAAGAAAGCTAAAAATAGATTGAAACTATAAAAAATTAAAAACAGTTGAAAATGCAGCCATTAAAGAGAACAGCAAATCTCAGAAACAAAGCATATGAAAGGCCCTTTACCTTAGCAATCAGCCACCAAAGAGCTGCTGAAACAAAAAGGTATTCACCTGCCTAAAGGATAGCAAGTGGGCACCAATCTAACAGGTCTGGAAGGGGAGTTTCAGAGCCTGGGAACAGCCACTAAGGCTGCATCTGTACTGCAGAAATAATCTGGTTTGACTCCACTTTAACTGCCAACTCTGGTGTCACAACAAACTACACTTCCCAGAATTCCATAGCATAGAGCTATGGTAATTAAAGTGAGTGTCAAACCTGATTATTTCTGCAATGGGGATGCAGCTTTTGAAGGCCCTCTTCTGTGTCCCCACCAGATCTGCCTGTGAGAGTGGTGGGACAGAGAGAAGTGTCTCTCTGGAAGATATAGTGGGACCTTAGTATCTGCAGGTGATCTGTCCTGGACTCCCGTGCAGATACCAAAATCTGCAGGACCTCAAGTCCCATTGTCCCCAATGGTGGCATGCGCACATGGCTGCACTACCATTAGGGACAATAGGACTTCAGGTAAGCCTCCACTGTCCCCAATGGCAGTATGTGCATGTGGCCGCACCACCATTAGGGATGACGAGACTTCAGATGAAGTCCTGTTGTCTCTAATGGCAGCACGCACGCACCATCACTGGAGACAACAGGGGCTGTCCCTAATGGTGGTGCGGCCATTTGCATTTATAAAGGCATTGGGGACAATGTGGGTTTGCCATCTGTGGTTGCTTAAATTCGTGGATGGCAAGTCTGCAGACAATGAGGTCCCACTGCATTAAGACATGGGCAGGCTCATATAGGAAGATGCAGCCCTTCAGTTAACTGGGACCTGAGCCATATAGGGCTTTGTATGTCACTAGCACTTAGAACTGAGCCCAGAAGCAAACCAGCAGCTGGTAGAGCTTTTGCAGTGGTTAATAATCTGGTTGCATCTCTTTGAATCTTCTGAAATTTCTAAACACAACCTCTCACAGAACATGTTAACAATAATCTATATAGGCTGTAGTTTGTACATCTTTAGTCCAAGTGGGTCTGAGGATTTGCCAAGATATATGTGTGGTGTGTTTTTCCAGCATATATAGGACAAAATTCATTAGGATAATCTCCTTGTGCAAGACTCATTAAAATATTTCCATTGAAGCTTGCACCAATGGACTTTCTGATGGATTTTTGTTGTTGTTAACCACCCTTCAGTCAATTTCGACCAATGGCAAGCCTGTGGATAAGACACCTCCAAGAACCCCTGTCCTCAACTGCTCTGCTTAGTTCCCGTAAACCCATACCCATGACCTCCTTAATAGAGTCCATCCATCTAGCATGCAGCCTTCCTCTCTTTCTGCTTCCCTCTACCTTTCCCAGCATTATTATTTGGTTATGCTCCTATTTTTAAAAAAACAAACAACAAGTATTATAGACATAAAATTTGGATAAATCATTTTGGGGAATACAATCCCCAGAATTCCCCAGCCACTGTACATGCTGACAGGGAGATTCTGAGAGTTGTTTAGAAATATATATATATATATATCAGAATATATATAATATACATAATAAATGAATATATATAATAAATCTAAGTTGGGAGAAAGTTTAGTAATAATAGTTTGGTGTTCATGTTTTAAAGTTTAGCAGTAATAGAGCTGAGGCAATGGGAACACTGAAATCTAGTAAACATGATCAAAAATTAGAAGCAGCAATATTTATTTAAAGGAATTATTAATTATATAAGAAATTGAATGAAGTCATCACAGCATACTGACTTCATTGGGTGGGGGGAATAATACGGTATGTCTATTTTTTGCCTTTCCAAAAGCAGAAAAGCACCAAGAATCAGAAAACTTTCTTATTTTACTGTTTCTATGACAACTGTTTGTCTTTTATGCTGAGAACTAACTCCTGACATCAACTCTCTTACATTACTGCTTTAATTTAGATTTATATGTCTAGATATATTTCAGTTTATTTTTGAGAACATTGTTCCTCATTGGCATTGGATATTTGAAGCAGTAGTTAACTTTTAAAATATCTAAATAATGAAGCAATCTCTGCTAGATACACCTGTCCTTCAAGGTCTCTTCTGGGTACCAGTTTTTGTACCAGTTCTGGGTACAATTCAAAGTTGAAGATGATCTTTCAAGCCATAAGCTGTTTCGGTCCAGGATAGTTGCCTCCATGATCTAATAGAAAGGCCCTTCTCTGTTTCTTGACCATGTAGGAGCATGATTGATGAGTAAAAGAGAAAGAGGTTTCCAAATGGTTGCTCCATAATTGTCGCATTCTTTGCCCTGGTACCTGCATCTGATAGCACTCTGCATAAGGCAAAGAGTTCCCTGTTTATAAAGGCATTGGCACTTTCTATTTTTATTATATAGGTTGTACCTCAGTAGGTGTGTTCCAAGGCACTATTTCTGTAAAAGAAAATTTGGCACCAAAGGCAGAAATAACATGGAAAAAACAGGGATAGGGTGCTACACCACAGAAAAAGAGGAACACTTCAACATGTTTCAGCTTGTCCAAGGCTTTGTCGACTGAAGTATGCATGTGTTGTTTTCTTGGTTCATTGTATTTTATGTAGTATTTTAGTAGGGAGATCCAGTATGGTGGTGTAGTGGTTTAAGTGTTGGACTACAACTCTGAAGACCAGGGTTCAATTCTCTGCTGGGTGAAACCCACTGGGTGACCTTGGGAAATCTCAGCCTCAAGGGAAGGCAATGGTAAACCTCTGAACAAATATTGCAAAGAAAACCCCATGATAGATTTGTGTTAGCGTCCCCATAAATCAGAAACAATGTAAGGGCACACAACAACAATAACAACAACATGGGAGATTTCCCCCAGCCCATTGATAATGATCCTGAGCAGTGTCAAACCTGCCCTCTTGACCCTTGCACATCATGGCTGGCCGTCCGGGGGGGGGATGCATTGCGGAAGTTCCTTGTGAGCATCATCAATGCGTCCTTCAGGGATGGACATATCCCATCTTGTCTGAAGGAGGCAGCTGTTAAGCCGCTTCTGAAAAAACCTTCCCTGGATCCCCTGGATATGAATAATTATAGGCCAGTCTCTTTATTACCATTTTTGAGCAAGGTGATTGAGAGGGCGGTTGCTCTTCAACTCCAAGCTGTCTTGGATGAAACCAATTATCTAGACGCATTTCAACCTGCCTTCAGGACAGGCTTTGGGGTTGAGACTGCCATGGTTGCCTTGACCGACGATCTGCGTCTGAGCATTGACAGGGGTAGTGTGACCCTGTTGGTGCTCCTAGACCTCTCAGCAGCTTTTGATACAATAGATCATGGTATACTCTTGGACTGCCTGAGGGAGTTAGGTATCAGAGGCACTGCTTTGCACTGGTTCTGGTCCTTTCTCTCAGGCAGGTCTCAGAGGGTGCTGCTCAGGGACAGCAGCTCCAGTAAAAGGGAGCTCACCTGTGGGGTTCCACAGGGCGCTATTCTGTCCCCAATGTTATTCAACATCTATATGAAGCCGCTGGGTGAGATTATTCGGAGTTATGGAGCTGAGTGTTATCAGTATGCAGATGACACCCAGATCAATTTTCCATGTCTCGTTCGTTGGCCTCAAATTCCAATGGCGTCTCTTCTCTCAATGAATGTCTTCGGGCAGTAATGGGCTGGATGAGGAAAAACAGATTGAAATTGAATCCAGACAAGATGGAGGTGCTCACGGTAGTGGCCCCGAAACCAAGAATTGGGTTGCAACCTCTAGTCCTGGATGGGGTCACACTCTCCTCCAGTGACTGTGTTCACAGTCTGGGGGTGCTCCTTGACTCGTCGCTCCTGACGACAAATCAGGTAACTGCGATAGTCAGGAGTGCCTGCTACCAACTTCGGCTGATAACCCAGCTGCGCCCTTTTCTGGAAGTAAGGGATCTTGAGACTGTTGTGCATGCGCTGGTAACCTCACGTCTCGATGTCTGTAATGTGCTCTACATGGGGCTACAAACTACAGTTAGTACAGAATATGGCAGCCAGAGTAGTTTCGGGAACATCAAGGAGGGAACACATTACTCCGGTTCTAAGGCCGCTCCACTGGCTGCCCATAAGTTTCCGGGCCCAGTACAAGGTGTTGGTTATCACCTTTAAAGCCCTAAATGGCTTGGGTCCAAACTATCTCAGGGATATTCTCCCTTATAATCCTCCCCGCACACTCTGGTCGTCTGGGAGGAATTTGCTGCAGCCACAAAAAGCTAGGCTTGTGGCTACCTCCCAGAGGGCTTTTTCAGTTGTCGCCCCAAACTATGGAACAGCCTGCCAAATGAGATCCGTCAGTTGACATCTTTGGACAGCTTTAAAAAGGCTGTCAAGATGGATCTCTTCTGGCAGGCCTTTCCAAGATAGATAATCCCAGCCTCAGGAACCCCTCTAGAAGATGGTTCTGGGGCCTCATGTGTGCACTGCTTGCTGGGATTGGTTTTTAAATTATGTCTACGTTGTATGCTGTTTTAACTTGGATTGATTTAATAATGTTTTTAAGGGAGGGGGAAGGGAATTTGATTATTTTATATTATGTAATATTTTATTGTTGTAAGCTGCCCCGATTGACCTCAGAGGGGTGGGATATAAATAAATTTTATTATTATTATTTTTATTATTATTATTAAAGCACTGAGCACTAAGAAGTGCAAAAACATAAGCTTTCAAAATAAATAAGTCCTACTATACTTATCTGGGAGCAATCCTCATTGAGCACAATGTTAATTCAAGGTAAACATGGATAGGATTGTAACAAAGGTGCATTTATGATTCTTATTAATGGGATTTTGCAGATTTAATAGAGAATGATACATTGCATAATTTTACAGTGTGTTGATAAGCATGGGTCCTGTCTTTTGGGGGGCTTTATTTGCAGCTGACAGAGGAGGTGCTACTATCATCTTCTGCACAGCTTTTCCAAGGGGTCCCAAGGGGATCATTTTTAATTGTTTTTCAAACAATTGCCTGAAACTGACCCCCTAATGCTTTCTAATGGGTTCTTGACAGTAAGGTTTGGCAATAGAACCAATTGCCTAGGAAGGTGGTGGGGTCTCCTTCTTTAGACATCTTCAAAAAGAGGCTGAAGAGCTGCCTGACTGGGATGCTTTAGCTGGACATTCTGCATTGAGCAGTGAGTTGGACTAGGTGGCTCATGAGATTCCTTCCAACTGTATGATTCTTTGACTCTATGACTAGGATCTAAATGATTATGTATTCCTTGTTTATATTTTGCTACTATTTTATCACAACAAGTGGTTTGAGGACTGGGCCAAATCTATTCTGGGACAGGGTGACAATTGCTTGTGTGACCATTTTGGGGTCCTTCTGAAGAGATCTTGTGGTAAAAACATCCAGAGGCATGTCCAACTTGGGTGCTGTTGTCCCTTTGTTGTTCCTCCTTCACTTCCAGGTGACAGGGGAACCATATAGTGCCTTAAATTTATATGGAACCCCACTTCCTGTCATTTTTTGTTTTTCCTGGCCCAGCAGGTGGGTTGGAGGAGAGGTTCCATCAGTTGGCAGGTGGGCTTCCAATGCCTAGATCTGTTGCTCAGTGACACATTAAGGATATAACAACTGTAACCAATAAAGTTAACTTATACCACTACAGTTGCAGCAATGTGTCTGTGTACCTGCATCCCCCTTGCTGTGTTCCCTTTTTACTGGGCTCACAAAATATTTCCATGGGATGAATCCAAGACTATGTATATTAGTTGAAAAACCAGTGAAACAAATTGGTCATGATTTGTGGTTTATCTATACTGGTGAAAAATGCCACACTCCCCCTGAAGCCAATGCTAACAGTCCTGATGACATACAGTTACTTCTGGGGAGATACTGTGGTTTTTGGCCCTTAACACAACTAAGCAAAGTTGGGGTGATAGCCTGGTTTTTCCTGGAAATCCTGGAGTGACCTCAGGTTTTTCTGGCATGTGGATAGCTGGATTGGATCTGATTCTGCCTGATCAGTTGTCCACACACCAAGAGTTGTGCCATACTAAGCAGCATGAGGAAAGGGGATGGTCTGTTTTTGGAGCAACTCTTTCTTCTTTATGGCCAGGCGATTCATGTAAAGCCTGACCAGTATGCCTTTGCAAAATGGGATGCCTATGTGATCAACAAGGAGGGGATAGAGCGGCCCATTCTTCTGGATCACATGATGGGGTGCCCCATTCTGACCTTAACATCATTTCCCATGTATTTATTGACAAAATATTATTTTAGTAACCCTACTGTTCAGTCCCCAGATAACATTGAACTACAAGTCCCATCCTCAGCCAATAATTTTTAAATGGGCCACTCTGATCAGACAGGAAGCAATGTGCATGGAATCTCTTTAGTAAGCTGACAAGGATAATAATAATAATAATAATAATAATAATAA